GGAGGAAACTCGGTAACTGCAGATGAGGAGAAGGCAGGAGTGCTTAACATCTTCTTTACCTCAGTCTTTAGTGGGAAGACAGCTTGTCCTCAGGACAGCTGTCCTCCTGGGCTGGCAGATGGTGTCAGGGAGCCGAATGGTCCTCCTGTTATCCAGAAGGAGGCAATCAGACAGCTGAGCCACTTGGATGTTCATAAATCCATGGGCCCAGATGGGATCCCTCCCAGGGTGATGAGGGAGCTGGCAGATGAGCCTGCAAAGCCGCTCTCCATCATTTACCAACAGTCCTGGCTCACTGGTGAGGTTCCAGATGACTGGAAGCTGGCCAATGTGACACCCATCCACAGAAGAGCTGGAAGGAGGATCCTGGAAATTATAAGCCAGTCTCAGGCAACAACTGACAGAACGAGAGGACACAGTCTTTAGCTGCACCAAGGGAAATATAGGTAGGATGTTAGGAAAAAGTTTTTTACAGAGTGATAAAGTACTGGAATGGTCTGCCCGGGGAGGTGGTTACCACCCCTGGATGTGTTTAAAAAAGACTGGATGTGGCACTTGATGCCATGGTTTAGTTGAGGTGTTAGGGCTGGGTTGGACTCCATCTTGAAGGTCTCTTCCAACCTAGTGGTTCTGTGATTCTGTGAACCTTCTGGACAGAAGTATCTTGGGGTTCATAGAATTATTGTGAATAGATACTTCTGGATACAAATCTACAAAACTAGCTCTGTGGGATTAACCTGATGTCCATTTAGGTCTCACACTCAGGTTAGCCCAACAACAGGGCTGTAAGGCTTGGAAGACAAATGTAGTAGTAAAAAGAATCATGGAAGCATTTTCAGACTTTAGATATTCTCTTGCAAATAAATTTTTCATAGCAGGAAACCTGCAGGAGTACACTGTCACACTAACAGTACTCTCAGAAAATTAAAGCATATCAACTTTCACCTGGGGAATGAGACATACAGTCCATTTCCAGAAGCAAACAAAAAGTTATTTTATACCCACTATTATGTGAAAGAAAATCCTGTATTTAAGATACAACTTTGAAGACACAGAGAAAAGCAACACTAACACACAAAATTCCTTTAAGAATAATTTATCAGAATACAGATTATATGTTCAACACTAATACAGTATATAATCCCTGTTAAATGTTCTATAGACACACTTGGAAACATACTGTGAATAAGACTTGAATAATCAAGAGGATTATTTAAAATATATATGTACACTTCAAAGGCTACTGTGCAGGAAGAACAGTTTCAGGGATTTCTGCATTCTACAACATAAGATAATTTTTGAAATTTCCAAGTAAGTAGTAATGTAAACTAATTTTTATTTTTAAAGAAAGTGCTTCTAGTATTACTACTGGGTTTTGAAAAATATTAAGTCTATTTTCTTTCCGTTACGTATAAAGCACTGAAGAATGAGTCTCCACATAAAAACCACCATCCAGCAGACCTCAGTAAGTCCACTTTATAAACAAGTCCTTGCTTTAATTTCATTTCATTTGGATAGTTCCTATGCAAATATACACATATCTAGAAGGTAACAGCCATAACATACTTGTATAGTGCTTCAAATGATACAACCAATATCAACAGAGACTTTGGTCAGAAGTGGCAGCTCATAAATATGTGCAATAGCTAATTTAATTTTAATACTGCCATTCTGGTCTGGCTTGCTCAGAGCCCCAAAAAGGAGTTTAGCATGCCAGTAGTTCTGTTTCGTGAAGGAATTTGGAAGAGAAAAGGTCTTTCATAATTGGGCAGAACATACAATTTTCTTATTAGTAATGTGTGAAGAAGTAATTTTTTCCTACTGAAACAGATTTTCAGTGTTTTAAAATTCACTCTAACATTATGCAATCGTGCTCCTATACTACTAGTAGAATTGAAAATGATCCTGCTCTTTTTTTTTGTGTTTCCTTGTATCAGCATGAACACTTATACTACCTGAAAAAGATTACTTATCTGATTAACTAATTTATACATTTCACTGTCCATGAATGTTGGTGACTGCCAAGTAAAGTCAAACCAATGGGGTGCACTAGTTAGCTTTAGCATTAGCTTAAATGACTACTCAAAATTACTTCAGCTACATACACAAGGTAGAATTCAGGCAAACAATTAATGCCAAATAAACAGTTGTTATTATGATTGGTCAGAAGCACTTGATGACAAGACTTCCTCATGTAAAAGACAGCTTTAATCCTGCTCATAGTAAACAAAGAAAGCTTAAAATATTTGAAGCTCAAAAGGAATCAAATAAGCATGGGTTTTTTTGTTTTGCCTTTATGCACTCTTTTGAAAACTTATACTTTTGACCATTTCGTCTCTTTGGATTATTGTTCCTACAGCCCAGCATATCTCCAGGACAATAGAACTTTTTATGTGAAGATACATAAAGGATGTATCACAGCTGAATTCTTAAAACTACAGCAGTATTACACCTGAAACAATCCTCACTTGCCATCAGCATTTGTAATTTCACAGGTACTCTACCTACTTTTGGACATATTTGGAGAGGGAGCCCTTACCCACTTCCTACCATCCAGTTTTCTGTATCCTGTTTTTTTTTCTAAGCTTTATTTCATTTTTACCTAATAATGTCTTCTGACCAGAACAACCTCCATCAAATTATTTCATTACTTGAAAAGCTTGTGGCTTTTACCATTACTTCTTTAACTACCTGAAAGGAGGTTTACCCAGGTGGGGATTAGCCTCTTCTCCCAGACAACCAGCAACAGGGTGAGAAGACAGGGTCTTAAGCTGTGCCAGGGAAGTTCAGGCTGTACATTAAGAGGAATTTTTTTCACAGAAAAGGTGATTAAATATTGGAAGGGTCTGCCAAGGGAGGTGATAGAGTCACCATCCCTGGAGATGTTTAAGGAAAGCCTGGATGGGCTCTGGTCTAGTTGACAAGGTTATGATCCGTCACAGGCTGGACTCAATGATTGTAGAAGTCTTTTCCAACATAACTGATTCAGTGATTCTGTGTGGGATCATCCATCAAGCTGCAGAGTAACAAACAAAAGAAAATAAGACAACAGAACACCACTATGACCTCCATGTCCACCCTATGCCTGGTTTTAAAGCAGAGTGTAGCATATATACAGACGGGAAGCAGCCCCAGGTGAAGGCACACCAGCCCTGCCCTGCTCCATTCACCCCTCTGTGAGTTTCTTCAGGGAGGGAAACTAAGGGAAACTTAGCCACAAATGATCAGAACTGTAACAATGAGGTTGGCTGGCTGGAGACCTGTGGCTGGTAACCAGGAGCTGTGAGCAAAGAGAGAGGGGAAACCAGTTGTGGAGTTAATGGGGGAATGGGAGGTACTGTGCTTGGAGAGTGGGGGTCAGATGAGAAAACTATGAATGGCTGCAAAGACGTGAATGAAGAAAAAGGGATAATGTGGCAGGAGAGAGCAGGAAGACCAGGCTGATATGAGTAAGTTGGACTGAAGAAGAAAGAGCTGTGGAGGAGAGAAAAGTGCTTGTCTGTACAAAAAATGTTATGATCTCCCTTCTACACTGGGTTTTGGAGTAACACACGCATGCTGTGACATGTGCACGGACACTTGGTGTCACACACGAGCACATGGCATCACATGCCTACACTGGGTTTTGGAGTGGCCACGGTGTAACACACGCATGCTGTAACGTGTGCACGGACACTTGGTGTCACACACGAGCACATGGCATCACATGTACAGCACAACACACACACGTGCTGTAACACAGACGTGGCATTACACACACGGTGTAACACATATGCACATGCCGTAACACACGATGCAACACACATGGTGAAACATGCACACGGGGTGTAACACAGCCACACACACAGGGTAGCTGTGTCACATGGCGTGACAGACACGTGGTTAACAAATATGCACATGCCGTAACACACACGCACACTGGGTAACGCGCACGGCATAACCCGTGTGCGCGGCGTTAACACACACGGTGAAACACGCACACGGCATAATGCCTGGACAGCGTAACACAGCCACACACACAGGGTAGCACACACGGTGTGATGGACACACATGGTTAACACACACACGGGGTAGCGCGCACACACACGGGGTAGCGCGCGCACACACACACGGGGTAGCGCACACACACACACACGGGGTAGCGCACACACACACACGGGGTAGCACACACGGTGTGATGGACACACAGGGTTAACACACACGGATAGCACACGCACGGTGGAACACACACAGACCTCCGACACCCCGCGCATGCGCGTCCCCGCCGTACCCGCTCCTCGTGCGCACGCGCAAGGCCGTGCCCGCCGCGGGCGCGCGCGGTGCAGTGTGGGAAGGAGGTGGCCCCGGCCCGGCGGAGCGCGGCGCTGAATCCTCCTGGCCGCTCACAGCACTGTGGAGCCGCTTCCCGCCCTGCCTCCCCTCCGGCCGCCGCCACCTCCTCCTCCTCCTCCTCCCCCCCGCCCCCCTCCCGCCGGCCCGCGGATTTAAAGGGGCAGCGGCGCCGGCCGGGGGAACCATGCCGAACTTCTGCGCGGCGCCCAACTGCACCCGCAAGAGCACCCAGTCCGACCTGGCCTTCTTCCGCTTCCCCCGCGATCCGGCCAGGTGAGACCACCTCGGGAGGGGCGGGCTGGGGGAGGGACGCCCGGCTCTCCCCCTCAGGCCCCGCCGGCGCCCAGCGCTGCCTGTCTGAGGAGACATCGTGCCGGAGAACTGGCTCCCTTCCCCCTGCCCGCTCTGCTTCCCCCGCGCCTCCCCAGCCGCGCCTCCTTACCCGCGGGGCCGGCGGCCGCCCGGACCTCCGATGGTGCCTGCGGAGGCCGCGCTCGCTGCGGCGGGGCGGGGCCCTGGGACCCTCCGGGCTGTGGCGGCGGGTGCGCCTGCGCCGGGACGGCGGCGGCGGCGGCTGCCGCCCCTCGGGGGAGTGGTGGGGACGGGAGCGGCGCCGCTCCGGGATGCGGCGGGAAGAGGGTACCTGGCCGAGACGGGGTGGGCGCTGCCTGCCTGTGGGCAGGGTGCGGCTGTGCGTGAGGCGGTGCAATGGGATGTATGGCTGTGAGAGATGGGGGGCAGCTGGAGGGCTCGGCGAGGGGAGCCCTGCACTGTGAGGGGCCCGCGCAGGCTCAGCACTGGTACAGGCAGTGAAGGTCCATCAGTGGTGCTCTGTTTATTAGATGCGGTGCTGCACGATGAGGCGTGTGCGTGGCAAGTGGGACACCCCTGCGGCGGGGAGGGACTGTCACAGGATTGCTAGGATGGTAGCAAAGCATCATGACCAACAGCAGAGGTGATGGGAGAAATTCCCAATAGGTGAAAAGCAGGGGTGGTGTACTGGTAGAGCAAAAAGTGTGTGAGTGAGACACAGTGAAAAATAAATCACGCACTTAGACGTAGAAACCCCCATGTGAAGGTTCACCCTTAAATCAAGATGACACTCTTAAAATACTTGGTTTAGCATGATGCTCACAACATTGAATGGGGCACAGACATAGAGCAATACCAGTTACTCTTTTCTAACAGTTGGTAGTTAAGGCTGGGTTTTTCATGATTTATACATGATATTTACTATCTTCCTTGAAGCTGCTTGACCTGATTTTTGGAAAAATCAAAACCCCATGGGAATTATGCATATGTAGTATTTTCTAAGGAAACAGACCCTCCAAGCAATTTCAAATGAAGATACAAAAAGCTTATATAGGTAGTAGCTGCTCTCTCTCTAAAGTTGTACTTTTGTATATGTTATGAAGTTCTCCTGGATGAATGCAAGGCCTTGCTGTAAAGGCTATCCAGACCTCCTGATGTCTAGTACATGCAAGGTACTGTAATACAATCCATATTCCATATGCTTTTGCTTTAAGAAGAACTGAAATCGAAGTGCTTGTTTACCTACTCTTATTCTGTCATTTTCATGATTTGCTCTTACTGTTGTCTCTTTCTACCATCTGTCCTGTGAGACCCTTAAGATCTCACACAAAGGAATATCTGCAGTTAGTGTGGAATTGAAGAAAATTGGCACTGTCTGAGCTTCAGTCTTAATTTGTAAGAGGTCCATGCTGTAAAATGTGAGTCACATCAAGCTGTACAGAATTCGTCAGTAGATGGCAGTTTACTGTATGAAGAAAATACCCTCTTGAGTTTATAATTTCTTTATGGAAGGACATTTTGAATGAGTGTTTTCCATGGTAGCAGTGCAAAAAGGTACTTAAAGGTGTGTGACTTTTCATTTTAAAGATTAAATTTTTTAAAACTCTATTTTATAAACTCTAGGATGGTTTGTGTTGGAAGGAACCTTGAAGCTCATCTCATTCCAAGCCATGGGCAGGTACACCTTCCATTAGACTGCCTTTCTCCCAGCCAACCCTTGGAACTTCCAGGAATGGGGCAGCCTCAGCTTCTCTTGGCAACCTATGGCAGGGCCTCCAAACCCTCACTGTAAAAAATTTCCTTCATATATCTAACCTAAATTTCCCCACTTACAGTTTGAAGCCATTTCTCCCTGTCCTGTCACTACAGTTCCTGATGCAGAGTTCCTCTCCTACTTCCCTGTAGCCCCTTCAGACACTGAGTTTGAAGCCATTTCTCCATGTCCTGTCACTACAGTTCCTGATGCAGAGTTCCTCTCCTACTTCCCTGTAGCCCCTTCAGACACTGCAAGGTGCTGGGAGGTCTCTGCACAACCTTCTCTTCTCCAGGCTGAACAGCCCTGACTTTCTCATTCTGTCTCCACATAGGAGATGCTCCAGTTTGCCAGCTTTGTGGACGTGATCCAACATTTCCATGTCTGTCTTTATATTGGGGCAGACTGTACACAGTATTTCAGATGGGGTCTCACAAGATGGGCAGGAGGAAGGAGAAACTATACATAAACTGTTTATAGCATCTTTGTACTCTTAAAAACAGTCAGTGACAAAGACTATGTTCTAAGTTCTCTAGAAGTTCCCCCCCTTAATATTTTACAACTTTCTGTCCAAAGTTGATCATATATTCTATTTTACCAAGAGCATTTAGAGACTGATAAATCCGTGCATCCTTTTGGTTTTACAGACTTGAGGGTGCTTTATTCTGTGGGTTGGTCTACAGTAGTCTGTGGATGGAAATGAAAATATGTTCCTTGTACTGCTTGCTCTCACTTTTGTAGGTCAGACTGGGATGGTGAGCAAAGTGCATTGTCCCAAAATGTTATTTGCCCTTCACAGCTTACAGTGGGAAAGCTGAAAATAAAGTTGTTAAAATACATCATCCACTACTCATTTGATGTGAGAATGGTGTATCCAGTTTCCTTACCTAAAAACTTACAGCAAACAGTATATGGCAGTATATGGTCCTTCCTATTTAACTTCCAATTTGGATTTTACTGAAAATACCTTAGCCAATCCTTCATCTCCAGATTGTATGTCATGTAGCTGTATTTTGTTTTAGTTATTATTTTGTGTAAAGTTGTCTCCACCCATTTATTTTCTAAGAGGCTGGTCCTGGATATAATTCTCTGCCAAACACTGTTCCTGTTGATGACCACACCAGAGGCTGGTGAGAGTTATTTCCAGTATCTTGCCATCCCATAGTACTACTCCTAAACTCCAGGCCATTTTAAATCTACCTGACTACAAGTTTGAGCAGTTTTATTATTTCTTTGTTTCACAGGAGCCTTTGGTAGGAGCTGGACAGTGTACTAAAGTGATTTCTCTTGTAAGCTTGGTGGCTTCCAGCAACACTTGTATTTCAGTTCCATTAAATACATTCTTTTCTGCTGAAGTAAAAGAACCATGGTTCCTTCAGTAGCGTAGATGTATGACGCCCTCCAAAAGCTTATTTAGAATTAGTGCAGTCACTTGTTAATTACATCTCCACCAGGCTGCTCTTCCTAATGCAAGTCAGCTCAGCCTCAGCGGCATTCACCAAGGGTTGTAGAGGTTCTGCTTTAAGCACCTCTAAGTTTCTCATTCCTGTGTAGCCTGTGTGTCATTTGCCATTCATGGAGGAGGATCCATTGGAGAATGGGACTAGATCCAAGTTCTCTAGAGACTGATCGTGCAGATCTCCCTGTAGGTGGCTGAAGTGAAACACTACCTGAGCAGCTACAGTGTACAGAAACACTACATCATGATGCAGCTCACTGTTGAAGGGAATGGGAAATAAAGTTGTGGATTAAAAAAAAAAATCTCAAACTAATATGGGTATTTAAAATAATTTATTTGCAACTGTATGCTCTTTGTGGGGATGATGCTTGTGAAGCATGTTTAAGAATCATGTTGATTTCATGTATACATGGTTGTTGGGTGACTTGGACCTAAGTTTGCTCCTTTTCGAGGTAATTGCTGTTTCTGCTTGTTGCAGTGTGTTGTCACGGTGTGCCTCAGTCTCCCAGTCCGTCCCCTGAAGTTTCCTTCCCCAGGTGGTGTGTCAATCACCTCTCCTTTTCCCCACCCTTGACCCCTGTTGGACACTGTCTATCAACCCAGAAATTCCAGAGGGCATCGAGTGATTGGCAGGTTCAAAGGATGCTCTCCACCCCCTGGGGGGCCATTGGCTCACCCAGGTGTCCCTCTCACCTGAGACCCCCTCCCCCCATACCTGGTTGGTGCTCCCTGTGTTCCCTCCCCTGCCCCTCTCCCCAGGTAAAAGGACAAGCACACCACGAGGTGGGAGTTCTGTGGAGTTGTTGCAGGATTCAGAGGCCATGCAGCCCGAAATAAAAACTCCGGATTAAAAACTCTCCATCAGGACCCACTCCTTCCTTCACCATCGCCTTAAAGGTTTCTCCAGCTCAGGGAGGCCTCTTCTACCAACAAGCTCCGGCCCGCAAGCACTGGAGCTCGGGGCATGCCCGGACTTGTCCCCACGTGCCCAGCTGCAAGCACAGGTACTGGATAGCGTCTCTGGGGAGCAAACTCCACAGGTGCGGCTATTTGGTCAGCAGCTGGGACCAGACAGACCGAGGCAGTCCCGTTCAGTAATACTGGTAAACCACAATAGCTGCTATTGCTTTTAACATAGGAATTACTCCCTGCTGCTGCAGCATCCCGTTGAGTTGAGTAATAAGACTCAGGGCAGTCTTGTGGATGCAGGTTTTGCATAAGGACTTCACAAGCTCCATAAGCCTGTCTTCTCATGCAGAAATAGTTCAAAAGGCCTTGGAGTAATCTGGCAATCCCAATGCCAGAGTCAAAGCTAAAGCTCCTTTTATAGGTTGGAAAGCCTTTTCTGTTTTTGAACCCCATTGCACAGGCTTCCCATCCTCTGTCTTGGTACTGTTAAGGAATCCATTCAGTGCTGGCAGCTCAGGGGCAGCTGCAGTGCCAGCTGCAGATGGAGCTCTGGCGGCAAGAGCCAGAAGCAAGAGGCACTGCTGACCCTTTGCACAGCAGAAGGGCACAGGGACCTGTGGCACAGCCAGGCATATGGACACTCCAAGACACTGCAGGAGCCGACAACACCCAACTTTCCCACACTCAGACTGGTGAGAGGACTTGGACTTGTTTGGGTTCCCTCCTTGGATGCACCATCTTGAGCTGTGATTTTGTAACTGCGCTGTGATTGCAATTATTTTAAAGATTCATATGACTGAGATTGTGCTATGGGAAACCTGGAGTCAAGCCACTAAGGAAATCTGCTCTGACTGTCAGAGCTGCCAAGGGGCCTCAGTCCCAGCTCAGGTGGTGCAAGTGTGTCTGCCAGAGTGGCTCCTGGGTGGCCCAACAGGGAATTTTCCTTAACAGTACCCTCTGCCAGTGATTCACTGAACTACTTTACCCCTGGTATATCCAGTCTGCTGTATCTTTCTATCTTTAAGAAATCCTTGCAATTGGGTTTTTATTTGTTACTGGTTGAGTCACCACAACCTGGTTACCGTAGCCTGGACCTCTCCTGGGTCTGCTAATCTTTGTCCTTTTATTAATATAAATCCTAAATATTTTACTTCCTGACAACACAACTGAACCTTAAAAAAAGATGCGCAGTGGCCTTTTCTTGCTGAAGCAGTGCATATACAAGTAGTGTCTTTCAATCTTCATAAGCCTTGATGGGAAGTAACAAATCATCTACATATTCTACAAGTATCAATTTACATGGTAGTTTTTTACCTTACTATTCCATTGCAGTAGGTTGTCAGCATTCTCTGCATATTTAATGGACCTAACTCTCTACCTCCTGAAGACCATAACGAAACTTTAAAGCATTTTCTTTTATCTACTTTTTTTAAAAATTTTTTTTAATTAACTGAAGTTTTTTCCTCTTCTTTTTGCTGAAGTGGCTGTATAAAGTCTTAGGCAACAAAATCCCAGTTTCCTGCTCAGACAGGATGCTTTGCATATCTTTGTCCTGGATAAAAATGAAACTGTGTCCTCAAAATTAATAATGTTGTTTCAAAAATTAAAAAGATAACTGAGCTGCTAAACTGAGTCACAGGTGATGCTTGCAATTTATGAATAACACCATATCTTCTTGAGACAACAGCAGTTCTCTTTATTCTAGAGAAAGTAATTTACCATCTTCTTACCTATATAAACATACATATCTAAAATATGCCTTAATAAATATACTTAAAAACCATACACAAAATTACCACCATTATAAGCAAGTACTAGTCCACAGAAAATACCATATTTGTACAAAAAACAGTGTTTCACCTGATGTGCACTTGCTGGAGAACCTGCTTTTGGCAGGGTACATCAACTTGACACCCTGACAATCCATCCAAATAGCTACAACTAAATCTGAATTCACAAAAAGGATAACTTTTCTGCAAAACAGGACACAAATAGCACACATTTTGGAGAGGAGCATTCCTCTACAAGCAGATCTTTCCAATTCCCCCTTT